TAATCTCATTAAACTTTATTTATTTTTTTCATTCAAAATAAAGTTAAAAAAATTTAACTCACAGAAATTATACAAACCTAATATTTCATTTATAACATAAAATGTCTTATAACATTAATAACAGAATTATTACACAATCAACTTGGATTAAAGGCACATATGGTTCACTAAAAAATATTATTTGAACTATTTTTAAAATATGCTTGGACAATATAAGAGCTAGTTGATCCATTGTCAATAGTATTGAAACTACAAGAATAGAAATGGTCAACATTTTCCTTTACATATAATTCCAATTATAGTGTAATGAAAGTAACAAAAAACGTTTATGAAAAAAAAAAAAATGTAACTTACATTAATATTGGATCAACCAATTTCAAATATGAAATAGTCTTCTATTATTTCCAATACATTATTTAGTATTTAATAATATATCTTTTGTTCAAGCTCTTTAAAGACATTGTCAATTTTAAACACATTACAATCCAATAACATTTAATTGCTACAACTGGAATATTTCATCTTGTTGTTGTTGAAGTCTTTGTAATGATGTTTTAACTTTTCTACCCTGAGTCATAACTACAGCAGTTGGAAAATTATGCATATCACTAGAAGATGATGGTCTTAATGGTTCTGAAGTAGATGGTATGGTATGTGTACTTGAGGTTAAAGGAAGTGAATTACGTAATTTAGTAGATGCTCTATGTGGCTGTACATAGATATCACTTTCCTCAATGCAAAATCTGAAGCACAATTTATTAAAAAGAGTATATGAGGCATAGTTTGTGTGATACAATACATAAACATATAGTTGTTTATATTTTATTTTCATTAATTATTCATAAATAACTTACTCACTATTCCCCTGAGTACGTTTAACTTCTCTTTTAACATTGGCTATAGAAGAATCCATTTTAGCTAAAAAATCATTAACTGAGCTATCATCATCTATAGATGATGTTATTGAAGATGGACTAGAAACCTGAAAATATATTTAAAATTTACACAATATTAATTACTAATGTACTATCTATGTAAGAAGATATTTACATTTTGAGTTACATGATGTCCAGTTTCTTCTGTATTGTCCAGTGACAATGGGCTTTCTGAACTAACAGGAATAAGTAAATGTTCCCGTAAAAATAAACTATCAGAAGCCCACAATCTGTTAACTCTTCTTATTTGTTCAGTCTATAGAAATAAAAAATATGCAGTGTTCTATAATCTTATAATCTTATTATCAATTTAATAATGATAAAGTAAAATAATGAATACATACTGTAACTCCATATTTTAGAGCAATTCCTTGAAGAGTATCAGTTGCTGATACAGTGTGTTTTATTAAATTTTCAGTTCGTGTAATATGCTTAGCTGTACTACCATATTTTTTTAAAGCTTTACCAGTATCTCTTATGCACATTCGTTCTTCCATTTCTCTCGCGCCATTTCGTTCCATTCTCAATCTTTAAAGTAATATCGGCGCTTATAAAGCGCAACAAACATAGCACTCTTTAATATTTACGGACCAAAATTTTGGACACACTTTAAGCAACATAATCACATAACCTATTCACACATTTAACGGGATTCAGTTTACATGTTATAATTGTCTTATTGGCATAAATAAATATTGGTATTTTTTTGTATAAAGAAATGTCACATACCTTCCTCAAAATATGCGAACTATTACTAACAATAGGGCGTAAACACAGTTTGATTAATATATTGTAATATCTTTTTAAAATATGTATACATTTAAAATTTTTGAAAGACATGCATTTTATTTCAATATATTCTTTTTCTTGTAATTGTTATGTTCTATAAATTTATAATTTCAGTCACAATAGATAACTAGTTACAGTTATACTAAGAATGTTCACTCAGCTGATCAACGTGATAATAGTTCATAGATATTCTTTAACCTGAATGATAGTGTTTGCCTCGTTTTGATTGGACAGTCAAAGGGCGTTAGACACAAGTAAAATAATTAATAGTTAAATAAATATTACATTTAAAACAAATTATATAGATAAAGATGCATTAAGAAAGTGTAAAACTTCTCATACTATATATATTTTTCTGTAATTAAATTATGTTATGCGTGTTTTTATATATTTTGTCATATACATGAATAATGGATCAATTTCTTCATTGCTAAATCTTATTATGTAATGCAGTAGTTTAAATGTATTCTAAGGGACGGTAATTAATTTTATAAGACATAAATTATACTTTTAGTTATACGTTTATTTCATAAATAAATCTTTAAAAATTGACTTATTTTTATTTATACTTTTCTTTTTTCTATAATTACGGAATACAGATTTGTTGAAGGAAAAAATAATAATAGAAATGGAATTAAATTTTAATAAAAACATATTCATTATAGTACGTTACACAGTTCATCTATTTTTAAATACAATATATTACAGAGAAACACACAGTTATAATTTACTGTTATTAATATTATGTCTCTTACGTTATAATTAACTTATTATGGTTATTATTATTATTGTTGTTGCTGTCTTTGTTGTTATATGCCGACCTTGATAAATATATAAGGTAGCATAAAAATCATATAATGGGAGACTAATTGATGTAGGACAACTTTATTCTCGCGCAGTACGTATTAATCTCCAGTAGCTGTGCAACAGTAACTGTAATATTGGTAATAAATAGTTAACATAGGGATAAATATTATGCTACTGCGGCAGTGTGCTTCCTGGATTCTGGGTAAAGAGTATTTCATCGTCTAATTACCAGAACTATATCAACTAATATAGTACAAGACAGACCCCTTCCGCTATCCCAATTAATGTCGCTACTTAGTGAAAATTTCATCAATAAGCAGCTTTTATATTTGAAATTACTGTTTTAATAAATCGTCGCGGACAAGGGTTATGTGCAAATTTTGGTTTCATAACATGAATATCTATACGCCCGATTTGATCTCCTAAAGTGATATTTCAAATGGTAGAGCAATATAAGTTACAACAAAATTGGAAGTGTAACACGTATAGGTAAAACTATCTAGAAAGAATGAGTACAAAATCTGTTCCGTCTGATGTATGTTGATAGTAGAAATGTGTATCTTAATTTACATTTCACACATACACTTTGGCAAGAGCATCAGCTCCTGCACTTGCTATAAAAGGTCGCGAAGGATGAAATGCTACATCTAAAATACTTTCGTCAAACTTTTTACGATGTGCTGTTATCTCTTGAACACAAGTTTTATTATCCATATTCCATAATCTTATACTGCAATCATGACCTGAAAGCAAAAAATTAATATGATAATTCAGGAATATTGATATTCTCCTTATATTTTATTATGTATTTCACTATTACTTACTTCCTGAAAGTAAATATAAACCATGAGGATCTACTGCAAGACTAGTAACTGCATCCAAATGAGCAACCATGGCATGAGCAAGGGTAGCTGATCGATGATCATAAAATCGAATATGTCGATCTTCGTGTGCTGCAACAACAAGTGGTAATGTAGGATGCGCCACGACACGGTTTACTCCCTTTGTTTCATTGGCCTCAAGACGAGCTACGCTTTCACCAGTTTCTGTATCAAATACCACACATGCTCCTTCATAAGCTACAACTAATTTGTTTGAATCCCTGATAAAGTCTACTGATGTTGGTATGCCATCTGTAAAATGATAAAATAAAAACATTTTCGTATGTTATTTAATAGAAGATTTGTAATCATACTTTTTTTTAAATAAAATTTGTACATAATGGTAGAAATTTACTTATATTAAAAAAGTATTGTACCTTGTTCAGAAATATATGTATGAAGTAGCGATGATTTTTTTAGTGGGTTCCATAATTTTACAGTCCCATCTGCACTGATTGATAACAAGGACTTAGCTTGATACATACTTAAACCCCAAACTGCATTTGTATGTCCTTCTAAAGTTAGGTTAAGGACACTTGGATCATAAGAGTCATATGGATCTATATTAGCTGATGGAAGTGTCCAACAATGAATCATACCATCTAAACCACCACTATAGCATTGAGTGCCTGTACTGCACATGGCTAAACATAATACAGGACCTGTATGTGATCTGAATGTATATAATGGTTCTACATCTAATGAAGATGACCTGAAATCAATAAATAGTGTAATATGGACACTTTTTAACTTTTACAAAAAAATTAGAAACAAATGGATTACAATTTCAGAATTTAAATAACCTACTTTTTTGCTGGTAATGTTTTGTGAAGGTTCCATAGTTTGAGTGTATGATCATCGCTTGCAGTTATGAGAACGGGATCAGTGGGATGGAAGACAAGAGCTCGAACAGCATCAAAGTGCGATCGTAACGTGTATTTTGCATTCCATGTTTTTCTTAAGCTCTCCTTTGTAGTAGCTACCATCTGAAATATAATAATATAAAATTATATTTAGAAAATATAAGAACTATTTTACATACATGTATGCACGTCAACAATGGCAATAACATAATAACCAATACAACTCACATCATATGATGTTTCTGCTTCATCGTTTACACACAATTGCTCTAATTCGCCCAACTCCAACGTGGAATCGCCTTCTTTATTTAGCCGCTTTGGGTCTGGATGTAGATCTCTGTGTACTGCATCTGTACGTTTTTTAAAAAAAACACCTAAAATATCTATGGGGTTAGAATATGCCAAGGAAAATATAAACAGGAGTAAAATTAATACTAACTCCAATCTACTTGTACGTCTGGTGGTGATTCTTCAATTTCTGTGAGAAGATTTAATTCATGTAATACTTCTTCAGCTTCTGCATCAACATCTTCTGTCAAAAGCATAGATTGCTAAAAGTTAATGTGAACAAATATATTAACAATTATTCGCTTGAAAAAACTAAATCAAAAAGTTTACTATGTAAAATAATAAAGCATGCATTACTTTAGGTGGTTTAGGATCCATATTGATATTATAAGCATCATCTTCCACATCTCCTTCTTCTTCTTCCATATCCATATCTGCATGTGCCAGAAATTCGAAGTTCGCCATAACAGCTGCTTCTGTATCTAATATTATTGCTTCTGCTGTAGAAGACGGTTGCTACCAACACAAAAAAAAAATATTATGGCTATTAGTATGTTATTAAACAATTAATTTATTTGATCAAATTTTTGTACATTTTTATATGTTTGTACAACTTGTAAATTGTTTACAAAATTGCATAAGTATACAGCAATAAAATAATAAAATAAGTAAATTCAACTAGACTTATTTACCTCTACCTTTTTTTCTGGAACTCTGTGAACATTGTTTTCTGTTGTTTGTTTATTTGATGGTTCATTACCATTTAATGAAGGAGTATTCATATCTTCTTGGTCTGCATTATTACTTAAACCAAGTAAAGATCTTACTCTGTTTGATCGTATATCTATTATTGTATCAGTGTAACCAATTTCTTCTAAGTATCTAAAGTAAAAATTGTATTCGAGATATTATTATTATTGCTGTTGCTGTATTTGTAAGTTATCATAATAGATATTAAATAATTATAGAGATCATATTTTATTTACTGTCTCAAAATTTGGCGGCCACGTCTCCAACTGATGTTACTAACAGATGTGAATGGAGCTTCCCCGTCACCACCACCTCCAACATCAGAATTAGCACAAGTACAAATACCTTCTCCATAAATGGGAGGTTTTGTATCTCCTTGGATTACCAAATCTGTGCCATACTTAAGTTTGTGATACCTTGCTCTGTAACAATAATGAAAATATAAATGTATATAGGTGTAATAATATTTACATAGATATAATAATTTTTTTGTAATAGTATTCTTTTTAAATCTTACCGTTCTTGTTTCAGTGCATATTCTAACATTTTTATTCTTCTTACTAAGTCATTTTTTAATTTATCTTGACCTTTTCGATCACCTTGTAAAAAAGCTATCCTAGCCTACAAAGAAACAATAATAAATTCATTATATTTATATTAAATTATTATTAAGAAAATATTTTGTCTACTACAAACAGATGTAAGATGTAACATTTGTTACTATTTACTTTATAGCCTTTTTCTACAATCTTATTTATATTCCATATTGTAAAAACTTTACACAAAGGTATTACATATTTTTATATAAGATGTAAACAATTTCAGTAATTTTTATAGCTATATAATTTGAACATAAAATATGTATGTGAAACTTATACAAATTATATATATCAATAATATCTTCTAATTTCACTGAAATATAACAATTTCTAATGTAATAAAATATTGACATTTGTCATATTAAAGTCTTTGATACAATAATGTAATAAAGAAAAATAATACTTTCATAAAATATATTTTGGCTTAAATTGAGAATTGTAATATTTTACGTATTTTTAAATTAATCGCGTTTTTACAATGCCCTGTCACATGACAGATGAAGTGACAATAAGAAAAGAGTATGTTACAGAAAGATATATAGATAAATTCTGAGAATTTTCTAAACAATTCAGAATTATACCTGAAGTTCTGCTTTTTCAAGCTCCCATTGCATTCTTTCAAGTTCAAAGCGAGCCCATTCATGCTGAATAAAATGTAGAACACCAGGCAAAGAGTATTGTGGTCTTTCATTCTTGGCATCGCCATTAGTACCATTGTCATTCCCCTGATGTTTATTGTTTGTCAGTGGAACATTCGCACCACTAGATAATTGTCCATTATGATTTTGAGATGCAGAACTGGAGTTATCCTCCATCGTGGAACCACAAACCTGGCTCGGTACCTTCATTTCATGACACGGCAGCCATTACAACAACTTTTCTTTCCTCTGGAGCCCAAAGAGTGCTCTCCTGTCGGATAATGTATTTCGATCGAGTTTACGAAAAGAAGTAATTAATACGCATGCGGACGTATTAGATTTCAATGCAACTGATATACTTTATATAAAATTTTATGATTCGTTGCTTGTTTATCAAAATTTAGTTAATTGTTCAACTCTTCCGAAATAGCAAACAAATATTTTCTTCTTCGCACATCTTCAGAATTGTACTTTCTTCCACCATCCTCGTAGAGTGTATTCAGGTATATTTTACTGTGACCTTATACCGGCTTTCTATGAATATCCATTGCATTTTCAAATTTAAAAATAAATATCTATTAAATTCATGATGCATTATAGTTAAATAAACAACACATACTACAGAATTTTTTATTATTCTTTTTACATATATGCGTTACTACATTATTTTATTGCATTATATTAAATAATAGTAACGGAATCTTAGTTACTATAAAATTTAATTTTTTCTAAATTTTATATAAATAATTATTTACTATTAGTTAAAATACAATAGAAATTTTCATTTTTTATGGCATATATCACAAATATAAATATATCTTTGTTTTCTCCTATAAGGCTGATTCTCAATATTCAGAACTCGATAATTGCAAGCATATAGCAGTATGTATAATTGTATGTTGGATGATAGGGAGGAGCTGCTAACGCAATAATAATTTATAAATATGCTTGAAATGTAACATTTCATATTGAAGTGCGAATATGATATATTCTTGCCTTACGTAGGAAATAA